AGATGCTTTTCCATGTGCTACGACACTGGCCCGCTACTTATCCTAGGGCCTACTGGACGACGGTGCTACGGGTTACTGTCCGTAGCGTTCGAAGCGCATTGCGTAGCAGATAAGTGATTTATTTTTTTGATCAGAGAGAAGTTATCTGTTTCAGATAAACTTCTCATTATTACTTAGGATGAGTTGCACCATCTTACTTTAACAACAAACGTCAAAAACCTGTCAAACTCCATACAAAAATCACAGGTTCTTGTTATAATTACGGTTGAAGTAAATTGGTGCAACTCAGCCTTATACATTAGATATGTTTTTAATATTCATTAAATAAAAGTTAATTACTAAAATTTGTCATTATAGTTACACCAAATTTTTTTTTTTTTTTATGTGACAGACAGGAGGCAAACGAGCAGACGGATCACCTGATGTTAGCTTAGAATCCTAAGAATTTTGTAGAGGAAACAATTTTGGCCCATGGGAGACAGTGTAAGATGCGAAAAAAAGATCGCAGCAATGTCAACCTGTTTAGTGCATGTGTATAGAATAATTTTATTATGGAAAGAACCTCATGAAAACAAATGAATCAAACAGGGACGTAATGGACGTTTCGTCCTTTGATTGTTTTATGTCGATTGGCAGCATTGGACAAAGACATTGTTGTACCGCACGCTCCCGCATTCAATTTGCACGCGTGCCCGCTCAGGTGTGCATCGCAGGACGTCTGCGACAGTCTGCGTCCGCTCCTGTCGCCGAAGGGTTAACAGGCGCCGGCGGGTTAACGGATGATAGAGTCATGGCCAGTTCCTGAGGTAGGTCTAATACAATTTTGTCTATTGGTAGATGCTGTCATTGGTTGATGCAATCTAAACGAAGCATTGGGTGTTTACTGATTTTAATTTATTTATTTATTTAATTAATTATAATGCAAGCGAGCTCACAGACTTTTTTCGCTTACAGACACTTGGCCATGTTTTGTTAAGATGAAATGTTTTGAAACTCAACCTGAAAAATATACTTTTTAGAAACCTTTTATTCATATTCGAGATATAGACAAACATTATTTAAACGCTTAAAAAAAGCAGTAGGAAACTGATCACTTCTCGTTCATGCCGTCAGTCGTCCCGAGTTTAATTTAACTGAGATACATTACAAAAATCACAAATTTTCACTAAGCTAGGATTCAAATCCGTCGCCGTTGACTGAATGCAGGACTAATAGACTTTCTAGTTAAATTAAAATAAGATCGTATTTTCTAGAAACTATTTAACCTTGCTTAGAAATGAAATTAGTTCAATTCAACGTTTAAAGTGAAACCCGATAAAGTTAATGAGCCATTCCGAACAGCGAAGCGTTTTTCTCTAGCGATTTTTAATAACGTGGAGTGACTTCATAGATTGCTAACTTTGTAGTGGAGTAGATAGTTGAATCATATTTTTTTAAATTATTATAACATAATTTCACATAATAACAGAGTTCAAAAGGCGAACTTAATGCCATATTGCGTTCTCTTCCAGTCATCCTTTGGGCCATGCAGAAAATAATAATATTAAATGTAATTAACCCTAACCTTTTAATAACAATTCTGCCATTATTTTTAGCAAATAAACAAGTGGAAATAATCCTACTAATATTATAAATGCGAAAGTTTGTATGGATGTCAGGATGTTTGTTACTCTTTCACGCAAAAACTACTGAACGGATATTGATGAAACTTTACAGTATTATTGCTTATAACTCAGAATAACATATAGGCTATTTATGACGATCGATTGTGACAAACTAAATTTCACGCGGGTGAAGCCGCGGGCATAAGCTAGTATTTAAGGTATGGTTTTTGTTTATGTTCTAATTCATATGCGCGTTCGTCGTGAGCTTATCTTAATCTTTGCCTCCCTTCTCATCCCTCGGGATATTTAATATTCTTGTGATAAAGCCATCTGGATATACTCGTACAGCAGTGGCAGGCATTTGTTTCATTTTGAGGTAGTCAGTAAGTACTTACTCATAAATAAAGTCAATAAAGTACTATGTAGGTTGGTACTTTATTAAAGTAGCTTAATTTTCGTTAGCCAACTAAACGCTGCCTAATCACTATGCTATACTCCGCTTGCCCTTGATATTATAGCTTTACTATTGGTGAAATAATCTTCTTTATCTGAAATATGTGGAAAAACTTCTCCCACAAATAAAATTTGGCAAATTTTACCCTATTGTGAGTATTAATACCATTTGAGCTCTGTTGTTTCCGTGTTCCACCAAAATAGCGACACAAATACCGCAAATAACACCTAGTGAAATATGAGTGTAAAATATTTCTCACTGTAACCGTCTACAATGTTAGGCGAGTGTTTGAACAGCAAATACCTGCCACCTCTGCCACTGTTGAGAATCCATAAATAACTTTTGTATCCCTGATATCTTTCAGGACTACTCTACTACCAATAAAACTGTAATTTTTATTCATAAAAGTTTAGTACAGTCCCAAAACAAAGGACAATAACTACAATTATCAAGTGAAACATTTTATAAAACCGATGGTTCTTAACTTCAGAAAGTTAATTTTTAATTTAGTAGCTAACTACACATATTATTTTTTTATGCTTGGTACACTTATGCGTTTGGTTCGAATATGCTCCCAGATTTGGGAACAAGTCATAAATAAAGCAAAAAGTCTCATTTTACGCGACTGATTTCCCCCAAGAAAACCCAATACAACAGGAGGGCCATTTTATATCGGCTAAGTTTACAGGCAGTCTTATTATTTAGGTATAATTCCTTCAGGACCTAAGCAGTGTCCCTGGGCAGCCGTAAAGCGTGGGTATCGTGACTCCCGACAACGTTGTATTTGTTATCTCCAGCCTCTCCAGGTCGTCATATCTATGAGAAGGGGCTAGTAGTGCAGGAGACCGTGTCACATTATTACAAAGCCATGCAAGCAAAATTGCTATTACATCTGAGAATAGGTAGGTACATACGCAAACTATTGGAATGACAGCGATAAGGCAAAACAGTACTAATTTCAGATTTAAGACAAGATTAATATTTTTTAAACGCCATAAAATACCTATACATATTAAACATTTAAAGATGACAAATGAATTTAGATTTTCTATTTAATTTTGTTGCAGGGCTCTACACTGTATCACACGGCATTAGGCTCTTGGACTATGCGGTTCGTCACTGGAATCCGCTGTCTACCAAACAGAAATGGAAGTTTAATAAGCATTTTAAGTGGGTAAGTTTGTTTATTCCCATATATGAATTTACGCTATATGCATTTGATTTTAGTATGCTGACATTTTGACAAAACCTGTATTAAAACTGGCCACAACTTTATTGTGATTTACGTTAAGATGCAAAGTTTTATTTGTATAATCTTCTCCTCCTTATTATGTTTTATCTAGATATGTTGGTAAGAAAGTTATTGAGTTTACCTAAGTTACTCATTACGTAGTAACTATTATCTTTAACTTACAACTCCTTGTCAAAGTGAACTAGCACATTGATTCGCACATATCTTAACTCCAACTTAGACTAAACTTTGTCTCAATGCCATCGAGTTAGGAAGTTGGAGCTTGAGATATGTTACAACTGAAAATATATCTGCAGTCAGGTTCCATATTGTACGTCTAATGCCGTGTTAAGCCTCACCCACACTAGAGATCTTTGAACGAATGGCAGCGACAGAGACTGTGTGTGTCTCTGCTTACTTAGGTACATAGCTACTAACAGAGAGTTAGCAATAAGTTTCCTGACAATAGTAAATTAGATCCTGCGTATCAGCATCGGCTAGTTTTAACGTTAATTCGTGTACAAGGCGCTTAAATACAAGTTTATCTGAAACTATTTTCATTAAAAACTACGTGAGCCTTTATAATAGTGAGAGGCAGGGATTGGTATATCTCACTTTATTACGGTTTCAAAACAAACCCAGGTTTTGCGAATCGAAAGTGGTCGTAAAACCCTTCTTTTATAGTCGAATGTTTATCTTGTGGTCGCAGCCTTATGTAAGACGCAGTGCAGACGAAACTTAAGTGTTTTACTTAACGAGTTAGCGATTGGAAACAATTATTTATAAAATGGCGATATTTTCTACTTATTCAAGCACCAATTCATATAACGGTACTTACCTAAAGATCACTATAGAAAACTATGACAAAACAAAGGTGCACTTTACTACCCGCATCTGTCTTCTTGTACGCTTATAATTCTGCCTAACTACACTTTTAATATAATAAAACATATAAATGTATTCAAAAATTTCAAGCGAAACCGTGTTGAATGCTAGTTTCAAAATAATCAGGTTTGTGAAAAAATAAACGAAAAAGAGAAACGTGAGCCGGCCTCTTCCACACAAGTAACTGTCACTCATTGTCAAATGGCCCTCGCAGCCCTTTCATTACACATAGAGGCAGCTCTCCTGAATTTCAGGCCTCCCAGCACACCCACGCCCTCTCTCTTTAATGAAAAAGCTTTAAATTGTACTGAGATACGGCTCGAGTCTTATAATTGCTGATTGCGCGAATTAAACATCTTACAAATTGAGAAATGTAGAGCGGAGTTGATTAAAAGATATTTTGAGGAAGTTTGAATGAAGAGCCATGCTAAATATTAAGAATGATTTTCAAAGTAACTGTGAAACTTGCTAGCGAATTCGTATGTTCTAAGAATCTACTTTGTAAACTTGAATATTATCTTTACCTTCTCAGAAAAAATATGGGATAATATGAAACTTGTAACAAGGTGTAGAATATAAATATTAATGTAACCGGANTCTTTCATTATATACCATGAACATTAGCAAAAACAAAAGAAAACTATGTGTAAAATGAGATTGAAAAAAACTGGTCCAAATTAGCGGACTCTCCCTTATTAGTCTAAAAACAAATAAAGAAATTTTGACTTTGACTTTGGTCGTGGAAATCCTTGTGGGAGGCCTTTGTCCAGCAGTGGACTTCATTTGGCTGAAACGAACGATTTAAAATGCTTGTCTTTCTCATCAGGCAACCTTAGGCCGCGGGGCAACCCTGGAACAATGGGCAACCTGGCTGGAGAACTGCGTGAAGAACGCTTTAGCACCGCACGAGCGCCGCGCCGACTATACGGCGCGCGCGCGCCGGCTCCTGTTAGATTGGTCCTTCTACTCCTCGCTCGTCATCCGCGAGCTCACGCTGCGGTGAGTTTTTATTTTATTTTTATTTATTTATTTAATGAGCAACATAATAAGCTTACAGAAAACCCAAAGCGCTTACATGTTTAGTCACCACATCGATTACAATAAAATTANTTTTTGGGAATAATGTATTTTTTTCATCCAAGCTGGAGCAGCTGGTTTTGTAATTTTGATAACAATTTAGAGAAGCATTATTCAGGGTTACGTAACAAAAAAAAAATTTGGAAAAAGTGAAGATTTGTGGCAACACGAGTAAAAGGACCGTCACCTGGAGTAGAATTTTTTGATTTTTTTTAAATGCCTATTATTTTTAAAATATGCCACATACATTTTTTTTTATATTTTTCTGATAACCAGCACAACTTGCCTCAAGACCCAGTTCCGGCTTGACGTTACATTACGGGACACCTTGTATAGTCAAAAAATTACACAAATTATTAAATTAAATTAAAATTAAATTCTGTTTAAACAGAATACCAGACTTTACAGCCTAGCTTCGACACCCCATCTAGTTGATACACTTATGCCCGTTTTCACCATCAATCCCAAATTTTTTAGTGACCTCTATACAAAATTCCTGTTATGTGTTACTATAGAGGGGTCACTCAAAAATTAGGGATTGATGGTGAAAACGGGCATTAGTCCCAGTTTTTTGATTCGTAGTTGAAATAACCAATAGTCAAATGACAAGTGGTTAAATATCAGAAAAAAATGTTTTTCGAACAATGGTTGGCTTGACTTTTAGTACATTTTTTAACTATTAGTTTACATTTTATTAATATTTAACCATTAGTAGCAAAATTTAACAATTTGTTATTTTGACTACGAATAAAAAAACTGGGCCTTAATCATATCTATGTAGTTAGTGAGGACATTACGTGAGGCCGCATGGCTGCAGTCAGCTATTCGGCAAAACAAAAATTTTGTATATGATGCATGTCGAGTACAATCTTATCAAAGCATCGCTGGTTCCGATTTTTGCCATGTTGGAAACCATATAGTTGAATGATGGTAGCGCCCCCCTGTCATTGAGTTTGGTGGGACAGTTCAGTGTGGGTCATCTATATGCCCTGTCACATTATAATATGTCAATGTCAAAGTTGAAAGTCTCGCATGTAATCAATATTATTTAAGGACTCCCGAACTAGCGTATTTCGAGTGTCGTCCAATTGTAAATCCGGTAGATATATGCGCAAGCTCTGGCGAGACAACGACGTTCGAAAGACGTTAGTTTGGGGGAGATCTTATACAGCGCATTATCAGCCCACGTTACATCACCGCTGTACGTTCAGCAGTGAACTAACGTTGTTGTTCAATGAGGGTTTTCGCGTATGAAAAATCCGCCAGATGGCAATACGTAGACGCGAGGTTCAAATGCTGCATGATTGGTTATTTTTGACATGACATTGACAGATATGTCAAAATCCACCAACCACGCAGCAGTCAGACCCCACATCCACGTCATCTAGCGGATCTTTCATACGCGAAAACCCTTATTGAACTCTGCCTAACAGAGCGTATGCGCCTTTAGGGCCTTGTCACGTTGGCGGATTGAAGGCGGAGCGCCGCTGCTCCGCCCAGAAAACGCTTGCAATCCGCCAGTGTGGCAAAGCCTTTAGTGCTTGTTCACGTAGGGACGCGCGGGCGCGGGCGCGGGAAACGTCGCGAGCTCGTGTTCACATTGACGACCAGGCGTTCGCGCGAGTGTGACGTACTATCGTTTCTAGCGACAAGTGAAACGCGCGCGCCGCCGCTAGTTTGACATGAACACACACAAACATCTTCACGCGTTGAAATTACCGCGAGCGCTCCGCGCGCGCTAGTCGCTAGCTTGCCCGCTAGTTAGGGGAGCATACAAGTATTACGTAACGCAATTTGGGGGGGAGGGGGGTCTCTTAAAACGTTACGATGCGTTACAGGGGCGGGAGGGGGACTTTCTTACAAGAGGTTACGTAACATAAAAATAAACAAAATACGCAAGTGTTGCGGATTACAAATCTCTTGTTTTAGTTAGTATGATTACCGCAAAAGCAATTAAAACTATACCAAGGACAAAAACTATAACATAACTTTTAGCGTCGTTAGAGTAAAAAAAAATGGTCACTTGAGTGTTACGTAACGTTTAGAAAGGGGGAGGGGGGGTACAGAAAAACGTTACGGTGCGTTACAAGGGGGGGAGGGGGAGTCTAAAATCTTCAAAAATTGCGTTACGTAATACTTGAATGCTCCCTAGACCGCACGTGCGTTTCGTACGTGAACACTTGGAATCACTACATATGTTTGATATTTCGTCACCGCGCCCGCCACCGCGCCCGCGAGTCAACGTGAACAAGCACTCAGCGCTATAATTCGCGCGCTCGGAACGCGTTCTGTGGCCGCGGGCTGGTGTTCGTTATTGACTCGGACAGCGATCTCCACGGCAGGTCGGCGGCGTCGTTCGGCTCCTTCCACCTGCTGCGGCTGCTCTACGACGAGTACGTGTCCTACCTCATCGAGCGCCGCGTGGCCGCGCACCAGCGCGCGCCGCCCATCTCCGTCATGCAGCGGCCCATGGTGAGCCACCCTCGACCTTATGTGTAGGACGGTAGGGTGCACCCGCTGCGGCCTGTACAAGTGCGTGTCCTTTATTCCCAGTAGTCCCTTTTAGCAATTCCTTTGAAGGGACTACTGGGAATAAAAGGTGCGTGTCCTGCCTCATGGAGCGCCGCGGACGGAAATCATGAAGATATTTTACAGTGAAATGAAACTAATGTAACGTCATTTCTCCGATGAAAGGTTTTTCGAGATTTTATTGCAAGTCAACAGTAGAAACTAACCAATTTAACAATTCTTAAATACTCCCACCTAAAGTTTTTAGTACTTTTCAGTTCATTTCAAACGATACTTTGAATTTACATGATTTGCTTTTACTTAAATGTTTAACAAACCTTTACCTACTTTTCTGTCGTACTCTCGCCACTGACATTGCACCTAATACATAGTGCGTTAATAATATTCCATCCCGCTCCCCAGGACGAAGAGGAAGAGATCGTGGAGGAAGCCCCGGAGCCCGAGGCCGAGGACGAGCAGGACTGGGACTGGGAGGACGACGACGACGACGACGACGAGCCCGACGCCAAGAAGCTCAAGCTGCCCGGCGAGCTCTAAGCTGCAGTAGGCTGCGGTGTGACGATGCGGTATGTTGTGGAAGGTAGTTTTAGCAAAAGTAATCGAGCGTTTTGGGGTTAAAATTTTTGGTATCATTTGATTAACATTTGGTAAATGGGCTTGTTTAAAAAATTAATTTAATTTTTTTCATCCAGTTAAAAATATTTAAAAAAACATCAGAAATCTGCCTTGGAAAAAGTTAAATGACCATATTATTGATTTGTCTTTGTCTAACTCGCCACAAAAATCATATATGGTTCTATGGTATGAAAACGGAAGTCTGTTCTATTTACATTTCTTAACGCGGAGGGTAGTTGTGTTAAAAATGGCTTCTAAAGCATACTGCAAGAAACACGTGCAATGTTGCACTGGCGTTGCGTGGAGCGCTAAAGTATTTACTGGAGCAGTTGCAAAATTAATAACATAATAGATTTCGAGCAACAATCTACAATAATGTTGATCAGCAACGTTGCGTTATTAGTCCCTATTCACACTAGGGCGGTCACAGTTGGCATTTAACACTTGTGCTCCAAATGGCATAATTTAGTTTGAGAGCACCAATCATGGCAACTCGCTCTGGTAAACACTTTTAAGGTTGTAAAATATTGTAGTTGAAGTATATTTATATCGATTATGTAATCTTTGGTGTATTGTTTAAACGCCTTACTTAGATCACGTGACCTACGGAGCACTAATTCTAATAGAAAAAGCTAAATGATATTTTCCACGGCTCCTATTTGGTCAATGACTTTGTGCTCCTGAAAACCACAGGTCAAATGATCTTAGCAAGACGATAGCATATTCAATATGTGTGTGTAGTAAGTGACAGCTCGTCTGTCCGTTTCTAGATTTATAGGTTAAACGGGACGGGTTCCCGATGTAGAAACCATTAGTTCATACGCCTGTCTCTCGTCTTTAACTCGGAACAGTTGACGAATCAGGGTATACATATAAGACTTCTTATATACACGAGCGGCTCATAGCTGACGGCAGTGGCAAAGGCAGCTGTCGCCACCTTACGCTCATGTATAAGAAGCCTTACATCTTTTTAGGGTTAACCAACTATAGAAAATGACTTGACGCGAGTCACAAATGAGGCAGAGGCCCACTTTTAAGTCACTGAATACGAGTATATTAATATTATGTCAATTGAAACTAATGTTATACGTTAGTTTTGCTCAGAGATGGTTTATGAAAGTGGGCCCTAAATAGGTAGTCTACTATACCTTACAATAAGTACACTACGTTTCAAATCGAAATAACGATATTGTAAACGTATATTATAGTCTTCACTTATCCGTAGATTTGTAGTGATGAAAGTAGTTGTTAATTTTAGTCTATAATATTGTAAAAACCATCTTCATCATCTTATATCATCATTAGATTAGGCTAGGTACCTAAGTACACTGCTTGTAAAATAGCTTTGCTCACTGTGTGTCATTATTAAGGTTTGTTTGCCACCAAAAGCTACAAATATTCAATGCCTCATTTTCTTTGTACGCACACTCAAGGAATAGGAAGTCTTTCTTTACGTAAAGACGTTTAGTTTCGCAATTATTTTTCTAGTCATGCCCACAAAACAGGAATTCGTTAATTTTTGTAGGCTTGGTACGATTATGTAGGCTATAAATAATAAGAATTAATATATAAATAAATGTATCGTAGATGTAGTTAATACCTTAGAACATGTAGTCCCGTTACATATCCCACAATTAGGCAGCTTATACAATCTTAAATTCTCTTAAAACTGTTGCGAAAGAGATTTAAATAAGAGGATATTTTCATATAATTGTTTTTGAGTATACAAAATCTATGATTTTTAGGTGTTAAAATAAAATATTATGCATACATATATAATTCTGTAGTTCTAACTGAATATTCGTCTATTTATGACTTGTGTAAGTGACAAGTCAATAAATGTGTGTATAATTTTAAACATTTACGGATGATTCCCAGGTTAAGTATGCCTTATGTATTATGTCCATATTGATAGGGAGGATTGACCATTCCTATTTTTTGTAAATGTTTCTAGAACGTAAGATTTGGTCATAAAGTTGAATTCGGGAAGAATGACGTCGTTTCTCTATTTGATAAATAAACGAACGTCGCAAATTAACTACACAAACAACTGCAGTATCGAAAAGATTCTGAATTGACCTAGTGTAAATAAAACTTCAAACATTTGTTGTTATTGAATTTGGAAAATAATGACCATGTACGTTTGTACGTAATTTATAGATGAACGAAATTGGATGTTATGCTGTAATAAGATAAAGGGGAATGTTGAGGAAACTAAAAAAAAACATCAATATTTCTAAGATCATTCATTAAACAATACATGGACTTCTAGAATGACAGTTACATCGCAAAAGTAGCCCTTACTTACTGGTATGTGCTAGGGCCCATATTATTACAATATTGTATACAGGCAGAACATCGTTTTCGGCACTCGACGCTAGCTTACTAGTGTTGTGTAAACCAAAGAACGTTCGAACTCTGTTCTAACGTACCAAAATTTGCTCAGAATATTTCTAAGTAGACTTCATGGATGGTTTTCGTCGCTCGGTAACACCCAATGTACAAGTAGCGTACATTCTGTAGGCATGAGGTCCAGTATCTAAAGAGTACTTTAACTCGAACGCTTATTTTGTACATAATTTGGCGTATTTGAAACCATAGTCCTGGTTTTCTGTTTGAGTATGCGATCGTTAATACTTTAGTTGATTTTTGTTTTCGCTTGTGTTATTGCTTGCTGTTCGCACAAATTCTTCTAAGTGGTTATATATTTACTTAAATATTCCATCAAATATATTTTGTTGCATTTTTAACTCATTATTATGTGTAACTTATCTAATAAGGCCTAAATCAGTGTTTAAATGTTTATGTATTAGGTGGTAAATTTCGTAGTTATTATGTATACTTATTATGTATCTATCCGTATATTTAATGTCTTATAGAGGGCTCATATTTGACGGTTTTCCCGAAACGTTTTTAATTGAGGCGCTCCCTCACCGGGGCATTCGCGTGTAATGTAGCGTTTCAGATTCGAGTCTATAATGTTACATTACACGTGAATGCTCCCGGTGAGGCAGCACCTGTGTGTACAGTCAGCGTCAAATAGTTCGTGACACCCAAGTAGCCAAAAAGTTCGCGACACGACTTAGTTACAATTGGAATAAGGTTTTGTTGTCAACTTACGGCCACTTAGGGTGTAACGAACGACGTATGCGCACGTTGTCAGTTTTTTTAAATCTATGCGGTAGTCTTAGCTCTTGTATTTTGCGGACAAACCGTATTTTTTCAACGTAAACAAAACGAAGAACGTTTCACAAAAACCGCTATGGTATGGTCTCGTTATCACTCGATACCAAAGTACATATGTTGCAATTTGGAATTACAATAGTGAATAATTTTAATATTGATGTAGTAGCTTCAGACAGGTGCCATAGATAGCTATTTATTTGTCATGGGTATTAAACACGCTTAAACCGGGTGGGTTTTCAAACATTTGCATTGTTTCTTGTACATATAGTTTGCAAAATTTTTCGTTTTAAACGAATAACTTTAGCTATGCTTTTGATTCTGCATAATATTTCGTATTAGAAGAGAGCAAATAAAACCATATTTTTCTTCGGTTGACGGAAAAGTGACGTTTTATTCTTTTATTTTAAATTACTTTTTTCTGTCCTTGACATGCTGCCACCACAGGCATTATTAATACAGAACTACAAAACCTTATCCAGTAAAATCTAGGTCTCTGGTAATAATAAGTTTAATCAATTGAAATAAATTTAAGTTTGTTAATCCATGAAAAAAGGTTCCAGACACCCAGGTTTCACACATACCTACTAATCCTAAGTGGGTAATTGAAACAACAATAGGAAATTTGACTCTAAATTAATACAAACAATATACATACATATTAACTTAAGATAATATTGAAACTTAGTAGGTAATAAACTTAAATAATTAATCAATTCCATTTATAGGTAGTGGACAAATGTTGTTGAACGCGCGTTTGATGACTCCCCCTGAAGTGTGGATCTCCGCAACCCTCGTGACTCCGTCCTTCCCCTTGCAGCAGTTAACGATGCGTCCTAGTTTCCATTGGTTCGGGGGCAGCCGGTCATCCTTCACGAGTACGATGGTGCCATCACGTAGACTGATGCCCTTTGAGCTCCTCCACTTGGTACGGGTCTGCAGAAGTCCAATATAGTCCCTCGACCAACGCTGCCAAAAGCTTTGGTACAGCTGTTGCAACTGCTGATAGTGTGTCAATCTGCTCATTGGCACGTCTGTATAATTATAGTCAGGTATCGAAATGGGTGTTCTGCCTATCAAGAAGTGGGCTGGCGTCAAACAAAATATTTCATCATTAGCTGAATTAGGCAACGGACACAAGGGCCGAGAATTAAGAATGGATTCTACTTGAGTGAGAACGGTTGCGAACTCCTCAAAAGTCAACAAAGAATTACCTAATACTCGTTTCAGATGGTATTTACAAGACTTTACAGCCCCCTCATGCAACCCCCCCATATGCGGGGTGTAACCAGGCAGATATTTCCAGATAATCCCCTCACTAGCGCATGAGGTTGTAAACTCATCCAAGCTATCCCTTAGAAAATTATACAATTCCTTAAGCTCATTGTTAGCTCCATGAAATGTTGTGCCATTATCACTCAACATTTCTTTTGGTTTTCCCCTACGGGATATGAATCGTTTAAAAGCCGCGAGAAAGTTATTGGTTTCCAAGCTAGATACCAGCTCTATGTGAACAGCCTTGGTTGTTAAGCACACAAATACAGCGATATAGCATTTACTTGCCTTGAATCCTCGTCCTCTCCTGTCCCTAATATGAAATGGGCCCGCGTAATCAACGCTTGTCAATACAAAGGGAAGTGCAGGGTTAACTCGCGATGGGGGTAGGTTACCCATAATCGGTGTAGTTACCTTAGGCTTAGCTCTGAAACACGTCACACATTTATGTACTATTTTATTTACTAGTTGCTTGCCGTGCACAGGCCAATATTGCTCACGTATGGATGACAATAATAATTGCGGGCCTGCATGCAACAATCGCTTATGAAAGTCAACAACTATCAACTCTGTAAGTGGGTGGTGACGTGGTAGTATTATGGGGTGTTTCTTATCGTAGTTGTAGTTAGACTGGCCTAAACGACCCCCCACACGCATAACCCCCTCGTCAATAAAGGGATTCAAGGACAATAAGTTCGATGACCTCGGTAATTGTTTATTTTTACTAAGTAAATTATATTCGGTAGCATACGACTGAATCTGTGCAAATTGTATTAATTTGATTAAAGCATCGTTCAACTCTAGGGCTGACAATGAAGTAGTTAATTTGTTTTTTGGATCTCTACAATTGTGAATAAATCTTAACACAAATGCAAANGTGTTGGGTCAATAAATATGTTCCTATACATTTTTTTTATATCTGCACTAATAACATATTTGTGTTTTCGAAATCGTATCAAAATATTATCCAAACTATCTTGGTCCATTGTACCCTTGTGTTGTATGTCATTCAAAGACTTTCCACTACTGGTTTTACAGGATGCATCAATAACTACTCGCAAAGGTGTTGTTGTTTTTTGAGGGTTCAAGACTGCGTGGTGAGGTAAGTAATTACAAGGCTCAGAGGTTGTTTTCTCAATCATATGCCCTGCATTTATAAAATCGTCCATGAACTCTACATATTTATCTTTAAACTCTGGATTTTTCTCAAATTTAGATTCTAGTGATCGAAATCGTTTGTATGCAATTGGTAGAGATGACCCGAGACTTGTGACAGGCTCCTGAAGGGGCATTTTGACAGTGAAATTACCATCAGCTGTTCTTGTGTGTGTCGCAAAGACATTTTCACAATATGTGGTATCATCATTTGGAGATTTCAATATCTGGTCACAGTCTCTCAAAAAATTATTTGAATTAAGAGTAAAATTGCATCTTACTTGTAAGGGTTTGTTTACTACAGAGACGCAGCCTGAAACCACCCAACCTAATCGAGTTCTTTGTAAAATTGGTAAACCGTCTCCGAGACAGTGTTGGCCAATGCATAGTAGTTGGTAGAATAGTTCAGCACCGATGATGATATCGATTTCACCCCCTTTATAGAATGAGGCGTCTGCAAGATTAATTCGTTTAGGTATATTTAGACCCTGCGCACTTGGTAAGTACGAAGGCAAACTACAAATGTTAGGTACAATAAAGCAAGACAAATTGGTAGAGAATGTATTGTCCATTGAGTTTACTTTTAGGTTGCACAATTGGTTAATTTTGGTTACATTTTCATTAAACCCAATGACCTCCATATCTAATTTTTGTGCCTTTAAATTTAATTTATTAAATGCACTTTGAGTAATATAGTTTGACTGTGAACCTGAGTCCAACAAGGCTCGCATTGTATGTAATTGGTTATTGATATCTACAACAGTTATTTGCGCAGTAGAAAGCAAAATCGCTTTGTGTTGAATTGGTAAATTGTTATCAACCGTGCCTAAAGTGGTGTTGGTTATTTGTTGGTTTGTAAATAAGTTTACTGATTGAGATTCAGCATTGGTACGAATAGGTTCTGGGTTATACATAGTTGATAACTGTGGCTGTGGTAACGTACTCGGTTGTGGAGTGTCATTTTGAGTAATATGTAATAAAGTGTGGTGCTTTCGTTTACAGGTTCGACAGTTCGAAGATTTGCAATTTGGTAAGATATGGTTTGAACCTAAGCAGTTAAGACAAAGGCCTAATTTCTTAATCAATTGGATGCGTGACGGTACTTTCAGAGCCAAGAACTTTGAGCATTGGTTGATGTAGTGACTCTCTTTGCAATTAGGACATTGATTACGACGGGTATTGGTATTGTTGTTAGGTGGTACCTTACTCTGAGAGCCAGGAGAGGACGTGGCCAGCATGACCTTCCGCGCCGAGGTGGAAGGCTGTTCACTGGAACCGGTACCTGCCTGGTCCAGTGTCTCTTGAAGGTCAGCTTGAGCACGCAAAAACGACTTAAATTCCTGTAACGTAGGTAAATCACGTGAAACACTTCATAAGGGTCACCAAATGATTATCTGCATAATATTTCGTATTAGAAGAGAGCAAATGAAACCATATTTTTCTTCGGTTGACGGAAAAGTGACGTTTTATTCTTTTATTTTAAATTACTTTTTTCTGTCCTTGACATAAAGATACTTTCTTGAGTTTAGTAGAAGGAAATGTACTTTTGCCTTAAATCTTACCATGTAAAATTGTAATGAGATTCAAGTGCTGCAGTTAATTTACACTATACAGGGTGATTTCGTAAAAAGTATCAACATTTTTTTAATAAGCTCTAAAGAACAATTTAACATACTAATTTATCTTAATTATTTTTAATCGTGGTATTTTTTAAATGGTGGACAGCTGGACAGGTAATAGATCCAATCTACACGACAATTTCAGTGAAGGAATCTAGCAAGTTTGAACCTAAGTTGCTGTTCAAAAGTATTAAAATTCACTGAACCAAATTTAAAGCTGTAGTAGCTACTGCTGTACCAGTTATAGTTCAAATTCAAACAACAAACTGAAAGCGTTTGTTTACTCGCGATTGGCTCAGCAAAGTTTGCGAAAGCTTAACTATTGGGCACACACATAAAACCCAAATGACTGCTACAATATTTGTTACATAGTAAACCCGAACATAGAGCAAGCAAATAAGTTAGAAGTTAGAACTAACCCTACTTCTATTTGATTTTGTGTAGTAGGTACCTAAGGAATGAGTTGGAAATATTATTTTGGAACAAACATAGGAAAGTTCTTGTATTTTACTTGTAGACAAAGATGGTCATTATTAGGATTTATGTTATTATTTGGTTATGCTATGGTGACACCAAATAACAATCGAACCTATTTGTAAGCAACTTTTCGTACCTATGCTCCAATCTCCTATTTTACACCAGGTATTGAGTAGACAACAGTGCAACAGTGTGTTTAAAATCAGTGTTAAAGCTTGGTGTATGTCAAATAAACATTGTGCAATCTTCTGTATTTGTAATACGAGATACTTAGCAACAAAATTGTACTCTGTGCTGTCAAGTGAAACATGAATTCGCCAAAAACAATGATACCTTTCTGCTCCCTAGAGCCGACCACTTAAAATGTAAAAGAAACTAATTAAGACAGGTGTATCAATTTTACAGGTAACTCAATGAGGGCTCAGGAATCGTGGGGGAGGGCAATCGAGGCTCATTAGCATAATGAGGTCGGACGCAGTGAAACCTCGATCGTTTGCTTTCGGGGAAGAGGAATGTCAAAAGCTAAAGATAATGCTAAAATAGATTAAAAATAAAAGAAATGCGAAACAATTGACGTGCGAGTTGTTCGGGAACGTTGCACAAGTGCCCGACAACTAGGGTTGCCAACTATACTGTTTTGAACAGTATTATACTGTTTTTCACTAAATTATACTTTTTACTGTTGAACAAAAATAAAGTATACAAAATACTGTTTTCAGCTAGCATCACTAGTATCCATAGATATTTTTAAAAGTAAATGCCCAACACCACATTTAAGTANAGAAGAGAGCAAATAAAACCATATTTTTCTTCGGTTGACGGAAAAGTGACGTTTTATTCTTTTATTTTAAATTACTTTTTTCTGTCCTTGACAGCTTTTTTAGACTTTTTTTTGAGATCAGACATTAACTTAGTGCCCACTCGAGAATAATGCAACTTCTTTTTTATAGGCTTTTATTTATAGATTCTTATCTACAGTTCTTACTGAACGTACGGAACCTATACTATTAAATTATATATTTTTATAATTCTGGTATTAAATAGCAGATAAAAACTGCCTTTGTCGTTGCCTTAAAACACGAAACATACCTCTTATTCATGTTATTTGATGAAAACATCTGGTTGTGTTTCAGAGCAAATAAGTACCTACTCACGGACGTTGTGATTAATTTGGGATAACTAAAGGTAACTTGATGTCCATTGTTATTTAAATAAATTAGTGTAACTTAGTGAAACACGAGTATTTTATCAATTTGACAATAGTTTCGTGCTCATTGACAAAAGCCTTAAAGTTAGTTAACTTCCAAATACATAAATGTAAATTCATACTTTATGGAAATATGAAATCCAATGTTGGCTTTTTAGTCCGTGCCTACAAATTAAATAGTTTATTTTTTAAATGTAAAGTACGTAAGATCATCCATCAAATTGCCTTTATTGAGTAGTAATATTATTAAACTTATATTATTTTTGTCAGTTATATTGAAAAGGTTTATTTATATTTTTGCATTGTGTATATTTTTGCGGAATTGCACTAGATGATAAGGTATAAATGTTGTGTAAATTGCGATTGTTGCTCGAGATATTATATAATAAAAAACCGTTTTATGACTGTCATCAAGTCAACTCGATATAATGATGGCAAGCGAACTTCTGGCCAATAGAAACTGAGTTCTTCACAATGTCTACTGCCATCGACTTCAGTCCTTTCACACCGCGTCCCTGGTCCTCTAGGCAGGACTTATTGCAGCAGTGTTGAATGCGACTCGAGCAACATTCGCATGTGGATGTTGGTGTCACAAGACCACAATATATAAATGTAACCACTAGGTGTTAAGTAAGGTATTTATAATGAGTGTCTCCATGTTTACTGGCAAACTGTAGCTCAGGTTGGTCCCCCATCCGTTTTGTTGTTGTAGGAATGTGAACACAGGCAAGGACAATTATCTCTGAACGATCAGATAGTCGTGTATTCTAATCCATCTTGTGAATAACAAAAAATGCCTAGATTGGCTTTTATGCAGTTGTCTTAATGCACTAATTCTCGGAGATGAATTGCACCTTAAGAGTAGGCGCACACCGTAATTTTTCGTCGGCCGATAGTTTAGTCGGGCAGTTGATCAGTATGGGCATGTATGGGAGTGCGCACACTAAGCCGATTCGATTTGGCCGATTCTTCATACAATTTTAAATCGGGCCCAACTATCGGCCAACTAAAAATCAACGGTGTGCGCCTACTCTAAAAGACCAACTGTACACAGTGCTCGTAACAGTCCGAGCACGTCACACTATCCTATGATTTAAGAGAAATAAGTTACATTTATTTAGTACACTCATTTATTTTCTGTAACAACTAATTTTTTAAGACCTATCTTCTAGGGTCTGATTCACGATGAAAGCGCGGGTGAGATCGTGTGCAATGGTACTAGGTTCAAGTGCGGCTCTCATATGGATGCACATTTCCAAAGTACCTACCTATCTACAAACGCTTGTTTACCTCACATTCACCCGAGATTTCAATGTGGAATACGCGGTAGAAGATACGTCATGAAAAATTCAAAATTTTGTAGCTACAGTAGTTTTGGTCTGACACATGAGCTTATATACTTTTATACCAATCTAGGTAAGTCTACGATTTGTTCCATTATCAGATGTTTAAATGTAGCAATGAAATGTGTGGACTTCATTCCTGTGTAATGTATGTGTCAGCTACACCCCGGCTACAGTTCCCTAGTCAGCCCTCGCCGGAGTGCAGTCCACACACTGGGGCGGTGTTAGCGCGTAAGGAACGAATGACTGTTGTATAATGGTTCGACCACGACTCTATGTAAGATTTGTATGCAGGGATCGATAGGAAACGATTTAAATGTCTGAAAATAAAGCTAGTCATGTGTTTACATTGTTGTTTTTATTAAAAAACCTACTTATGTTAAAATTTTAAAAGATTAACTACAGATTTAACAAGGGTCTAACAGGGAAAATTCAAATGAAACTACCGAATGTCTCGTTATAAATATTATTTCAACGTTCCGTATGTCTAAGACTAATTAATGTACATTCTCGAGGTGTCCGCAACAGGAATACGAATTAAAATAATATTTACAAAGAAGTTTATGCGCGACGGCTGCATAGAGACGCCGCGTTGTTATATATCAACCATTAAAATAAATGTCCCTTACTCCACAACTTGATTATTTACTGAATTAACACAAATCTAATACAACAAAAGTTCAAACATCACAATTGTGGTAATATAGGGGAATCATGCGACAATAAACTGTAATCAATTAGCAACATATCAAAACCCCTCCGACTTACCGTCCTTTTGATATAAAAATATCAATAATATAACAAAGTATAATTAATTAGATTAGAATAATTCGCTAAAAATCGTAATAAAAGTAATGGCAGTAGTCGCGCAACAATTAAAATAAGTTACTATTCGGGATAACCTTAGCCCAAATCACCAAGATATGGAGTAAGCAAAGATGCGTTATTAATACAAAATGGTATGAAAACATCAATCGTATAATATAAACTATTTTGAAATACATCGACGTCGTAAACGAATGACGTACAAACACCGCATTCGATACATCCGTTTTTGTAGTTCATCGATATGACGTAACGTTTAGTGGTGCGCAACTAATGAATATCGTAAACTAATTCAGTCGACACGGCGGGGCCGATTCCGACGTTTTGTAGTTTTCAAAACGTCTCTTTGGTTCGATAACTAGCCTACCAAGCTAACACTAGCTCGTTCGAACCGCTAGCGTTCACTAAGCTTCGTCCTAATACTAGTAACGGCCAAACATTTTTTTCGTCGTCGGAACCGGCCGTCCAAGTCGTTAGAGGACGGATTCAGGACGGAAGAGATTCTGAAATACATAGTTCATATAAAATCGATACATTCGATTCTCGATTGGAATCTCATCCTTTCGACCTTTCCCAATTTTGGATTTCCTCAAAATAAAGTTTCCATCCTTAATCCGTCCTCGCGAAATATAACTAGAGCTTTCTACACACTATGCTGTTACTATTTCTCTTAGATGATCAGATAGGAGTGTCGAGAAGGTTGTGGTCTATTCAGCGACAAACCTACGTGTTAGTAGATAATAAATATGCAATCGAGTTGATAAATAGGAGTTCAATTGTAGCATGTGCAAACAGACCACAACCTGTATAAGAATAAATGCATAATGAGTAGAAATCTTGTAACATAGGGGAGGGCTCGACGGTCTGACACTCGTATCCAGGGATGGGCA